GGGATGGGGTCAAGAGCCTCAAGACTGAACTGATGGTCATGCTCAAGATAAGGCATCAGCCGCATTCACACCTCAATTGAAGCAAGCAAAATGCGAAGGGCCATCTCGTGGCAGTACTTGGCCCTGACTGGAAAAGCGCCATATCTGCAACACATGGTGCCCCAGGGGAAAGTGTTATGATCCTGGAAATCTCACAGTGCAAAACTCAACGAAAGACAATGTCGTTTAGTGGCAACCGAAACGGAAAAGATCGGAAAGAGAAATAGACAAACGGAAGAAGAAGATATGAGAATGAAAGATGAAGAAGAAGAAGTCGAGAACCAATGTCACTCGTCCCTCATCTCGTCTCCATCTCCCACCTCCAACATCTCTCCCAACATCTTATTAATAATAACAACAACAATAACAATGAATGAATGAACCTGAATCAATGTCCAAATCCTCCCCTTACTGCTGGCCGATCAAGAAGTCCACCATGACCATCCTACAGCTCCTTCCACATCTAGTTTGAGTTGGTGGCTATGGCGGACCATCGGAGCCCAGCTCTGATGTTCAAAGGACAATGCAAGGCTACTATGCCTCTCCCACTATGTCCATGCCGCATTCCACCCCCCGAGTCTTCCTTCAAAGTGCAACCCCACTAGGTGCCTTCAAGGTCCAGCGCCAACCGAGAAGATGAAGACGCACACCACCATATCCAAGGTAAGCTTCCTTCTTCGCTTTCCTTCTCCATCTCCTTCTTCCTCCTCCCTTCTTCACTTCTCCTCCATAGCCATGTCTTCCTCTTTTGCAGGCTCTAGACCTAATCCTACTGGACCAGTCCCTACCCGTAAGCCTACAGGACTCTAAAATGCTAACTCCGCCTACCCAAAAAGTACAATTTTTTTGTCCTTTTCTGCTATCCTACCCGGTGCTACTTAGTTTCCAGCCTCCGCGGCCTCTCTTTTCCTACTCTAAACGCTGCACCCCCAAAACACACACGTCCAAAGGTTAGTACCAGGCCCGCACCATCCCCTCCTTCTTCCTTTCTTTTCCTCCATAGCCATGTCTTTCTCCACCTCCGCCTTGGTCTCCTCAACCATAGCCGAGGCGGGGGCCAAGCTCCGCCTTCTTCCTCCACCTAGAGCACCACCAGACCGGTGAGCGCACTAGCAGCCTCACAGCTTCCTACCAGGAGAATGAGGCGGACTGCTACGCTGCCTCTTCACTTATTTCCCAGACGCACAACACCTCGGGCACTTTCCAAGGTACCCGGCCTCTCAGCCTCCCAGTTGCCTCCCCCATTTTGGCAGGAACATCATTCCAGTGCACGTGCACTCAGCAAACACAGCAGAACACGGACATCTCTGCAAATCAGTCCAGCAAGCAGTGAAACCCAGAAAACAGCAGATTTCTCAGTCTGCAATTTTGCAGGTCATTACAGAAAACAGAAAGAAGTTATGGCTATTTTGGATACAGACAGAAAGAAGAAAGAAGAAAGAAGTTACGGCTATTTTGAATACAGAGAGAAAGCAGAAAGAGGGTATGGGCTTTATGGCTAGTTTGAATACAAGAAAGAGCTTCATAGGACAAGGTGAAAGAACAGTTTCAGAGTGCTTCATGCTGTCTAATATTTTCGTCGTTTGTTTTGCAAATTGCTCTGCTTTAGTTGATAGATATGTGACAATGCATCTTGCTCTGCTACACAACACTCTCCATGCATTTGTACGCTCTCTGGACCAGGTGCACACGGACGAGTCCAGAATTTCGAATGTATCGCGTCCAGAAAGCTTCCAAAGGCATTGTAGACTTGTGTACTGGAGCGAGGCCGAGTATATACCAAATGTAGGATCCTCAGAGACTTTACGTGGAGCTACTACTAATTAATAATATAAAAGAAAGACCAATGACTTAAGTATACGTACGATAGATACCTTTGTTTGTATGTAGTGTCGTATTATTATAGTGAACTCGGGCAAGAGCCGTGGCCTTCGGCCTACACAGAGGGGCGTATGAAACAAACTCAATTTGTAGTAGAAGATCAAGTCCGGTCTGCCTTGAAAAAGGTAGCAAGTAGCTAAAAGCAAAACCAAATTTAGCGAATAACAGAGATTAAAATCATTAAATGCACCAAATAGATAGCCAGGTCCATGTTCACTACTTCTGTTGGCAAGTTTGCAGTAGTGAGAGAGATGCTGAATCGCCAACCATGCAGATGTGCAAAACACACAAGGGTGGTGGAGAGGACCTTGTGCCATTTTAAAAAATCGTTACAAATTTCTTCTGCTGATGTTTTCACTTCTCCCAGTGCGTCCGCCTTCATTTTTACTTCGCTTCTTCTGCTCTTATGTTCCACACAAGATTTCTGTTCTCACTGAGCTCCGATCCTAGCAAAGGACATTGTCGGGTGGGGAGTTTGGCCGGGCGGCACAGATAACGCAGGGACCTAAGATGAGCTAGTGATATAAATGAAGTGCGACTATTAGTGGTTACTAGAACACAACATTAAAAGGAAAATCCAGGCCAGGATTCCTCTATAAATAAAAAACAAAAAGAAGAGGTGACGGCCTTGAGATGTCAACTTGGGACTGACCGGCCCCAGGTAAGTCAAGAATTCCATTCATCTAATCCGTCTGGATTCCATCTCAGGTCTGCATTTCAGCAGTTCATATGTGTACCAACTGAGCTAGGCCCGTTGGTGTACAGGCCAGGAATGGTAACCCTTGGGGAAAGCGCCCAACACGAGAGAGTCCAATTGTCGCATGCCTAATCGGCATCGATCAGACCAAGAACCGACCTCTCAGAGACAATACAAAAGTAGCGCAGTGGAAGACTGAAATACCAAGATCTGACTCAGAATGGACAATGACAGGACCGGACTGCAACCATCATCACACAGTGTGAGGGGACTCAGTGCAGCAAACATAGGTGCGCTGAGCCCGGATGCATACACAGACGAAGATGGGGGAGAAGAGACAAAGGGAGGAGGAGATAGGGAGGATCGGCCACCATAGCCAGATGAACCCAGTCTCCAATGTATCCCCAATGTCGCTGCTCATACAATGAGTCTCAATGTCACTGAACTGGGCGAAGCCCAAAAGTCACCAAGTCCCAATGTCAACTCTCTCTCTCAACCTCTCACTGCAGAAGAAGAAGAAGAAGAAGAAGAAGAAGAAGAAGACAACGACGACGACGAAGAAGAAGAAGAAGAAGAAGAAATCCTCTCTCTCTCTCTCTCTCTCTCTCTCTCTCTCTCTCTCTCTCTCTCCCCCCCTCTGCAGCTCAACTGCAGTGCTCTGACCCCTAACCAAGCCCAGCGCGTCGACTGTCTCCACAGAAGTATCTCAATACTACCTACAGAGTGAGGCTGGACCCAGCTAAATATAGCGCTGGGTCGGCCTCAGTTGCCCAGCCTCTCGATCTGGGACCGACCGATCTACTTCACGATCGGCGGTCCTCAAATGAAATGGACCTGGCGCCAGAACTCAAACTGGGCCTGAAAACGGCCTGGCGCCTAACTGGTGGCGCCCAAAACCAAACAGTGGCCTGGCGCCCAAACGAAAAAGCGCCAGGGTCTGTGCTACCCGCTACTGGCCTAACTGGGCTCTAACCAAAATGGTATCGACCTATCCCAGCCCTGCTACTGGTCCTAAAACGACGCTGGTCCTAAGCGGACCCGGTAGTCGACCCTACAGACCCTATGAAACTAACCCTGCTAAGTTGCTAACCCCTAGGACCCGTAATCCTACCCGCGGGCCCTGCCGGGCTCGTGTGGGATCTGTGGAATGTCACAACAATGCAGCCGACGGCTAGGTAGGGTCACCTATCCTCTGTGACAATCCCCAGCAGGGCCGAGGGGACTGGAGACGAAGGACATGCATTATTACTTCAGGGGAAAAAAAAAAACTTCAAAAAGGAAAGCTGATAAGCAGGGATTATCACCTGGCTGGTAGGGAGGGATTGTTCCCTGGCTGATCAGAAGGGATTACCACCTACTTATCCACTCATGGGAGGTGTCGTCTAGCCAGAGGGCCAAGCAAGAGGTTTGGACCATTCCTCGCTTTTCATCCTTGTGCACGGGCCATGCTAATCTTCTCTGTATCGTTCCAATTTTTAACAGATGTCCCAAGGACAGGGCCAAGCAATCGGTAATCAATATCCAAGCCAAATCCATCAAATAGATTCACTAGGGCACTTTCTCACCGAGCACATGCTAAGGGGTGGCTTTGAAATGGAGGGAGATAGTGGGGGCTGGGGTCACAGAGGTTTTTTTTCAGTGGGGGAGGGAGATACTGGCCACTGATGAGGACATACTTGCCATAGCAGACCTCGCCACTATTCCCGCAAAGGACAGCCATATCAGTGGCAGTGCACATGAGAAGACCGCCATCACATACCGCCTGCACCGCTGAATCTAGGAAAACGGAGGGGGATCCATAAGGGTCTAGGTCTACCTGCAGCAAAGACAAGCAGCCATACAAACTATTATATGGTGAGAACTGCATGACTCACGAGAGTCACAAGACTCACAACCAGTCAGCAGAAAAGAATAAGGCCACAAACAAGCACCACATACTTTATGACTATCACTTGTCACCTGGTTAACGCATTTACCAGGGTTGCATCCCTGCCGACCGCCGACCCCGCCCACCGACCGTATTGCAGCCGACCAGATAGCCGACCCGTCGGCAGTCTGCCGACCAGTAAAAAAAAAAAAAAAAAAAAAAAAAAAGAACCATCCACCTAGGCTACCAGAGTGGCCCGGGGGCACTTGCCCGGCCGGGCCAAAAAAATATAAAAGTAAAAAAAAAAAATAATAATAACTTCCTTAACACTCTTTAAGTGAATAGCGGTCCTCGCGTAACGCTCCCGCGAGAGGCCGCTGTCCACTGTCGGGAAACACAATGGGACAGGTAGGCGAGCCCGACAGACACCGCGTATGTCTTTCGGGCCGGGACAAACCGGTGAGAATAGTCGAGATTGTCGGTCGGGCCCGCGTTGGACGGCCCCATAGATTTTTCGAGATCCGCGCCAACGATTCCCGAAACTTTTATCGGGCTGTCCACCGCGGGCCCGATCGACGATCGTGCTTTTAGGCTCTGCACTTCGCCGTGCTGTTTCGATTGCTTTGGAACTTTGCTCACATGGTTCGACGATAGGTGCTTCTGTTTCGATTGCTTTGGAACTTTGCTCACATGGTTCGAAGAGAGAGAGAGAGAGAGAGAGAGAGAGAGAGAGAGAGAGAGAGAGAGA